CAAGCGCAAGTTCGACATACCTGCTCATACGGTGAACGCGGAATACAGGCGCTTCGTTAACCAAATTGTGTTCCCGGCCGGCTATTTGCGTGCCCCGTACTTTGATCGCAAATACGATGCTGCCCAGAACTTTGGTGGCATCGGGGTGGTTATTGGTCACGAAATTACCCATGGTTTCGACCACCGCAACCGTGATTATGATGGCGACGGCAACTTGAACTCGTGGTGGTCGAACGCCACCAACATTACGTTCAAGACGAAGGCTCAGTGCCTTAGCGACCAATACGCCAATTTTGTCGTGAAGAGCGACCTAACTGGCGCTGTGTTGGGCAACATCAGCGGCCAGCGGTCTTTGGGTGAAGCCATTGCCGACAACGGGGGGCTCAAGACCAGTTTCCGTGCGTACCACGAGTACTTGAAGAAGTTCCCGTCGCAGTACACGGAAGAAACTGGCGACAAGTTGTTCTACTTGTCGTTCGCTCAAGTCAGGTGCTCCAAGAACACGGATAGCTACCTGCGCGGGTCTTTGGGGTGGAAGCACCCGCCCGATCGGTTCCGCGTGACGGGGGCGTTGCAAAACAACGCTGAGTTTGCCCGAGTGTTTAATTGCCCTATCGGCTCGAAATTGAACCCGTCCAAGAAGTGCTTGTTGTGGGAATAGGGTTGATGGATACGAAAATATGAGCGTTGTGTATTCGTAAGGATAAACTAAGAAATCGATATCTTGGTCGAAGTGTGTTTTTTTTTTCGTAGAATCGGCCCTCGCGGAGGATTGTCTTAAAAATGATGACCCGAAACTCAATTAACCATTATACTATTGTGCTTTTCATGTAATTTGCCCGTTGTTTAACTGCGTTAAGCAACCAGACGTTTAAAAGTATATAAGCCCGATTGAACAACCCTAAACCCAAAATCTGCATTTCAGCAGAATATAACAATGCTTACTTTATTTCAGCCGCTAACTACCGTATACCCCCCGCTTCAGTACCTATGATTTCTCCTCCGGTTGGACCTGTACGGTTTGGAACATATCGGCCAATGACGAACACTTTCATGGTTCTTTCTGGTTGGGCGTGTACCTAGTTGTCTCTAATTGGAGAGAAATATCCAATCACCATGCGTTAGTTATTTTCATCTACGTAATGAAATATATCTCCTGTGATGAATTTAGACCAATGCGCATGCCTGAATAGGTTTCTTGGAGCTGTACTGGTTGTGATCAGATTTCCTGACATTTTCATAGGTACTGAAGCAGGGGGTATACGGTAATCGCGTTGCAGCATCAGGCCAACTTACGCAGTTGCTACCACCAGTTCATCACGATGCATACCGTATTAGGATGTGAAATGGGAGTAACTTGCCATACCAAGTCATCTACCGTGCGATTGGCTCTACTTTACTGGATAAGGGAATAGTTTTAATAAAATTGATTGCTTTCTATTTTCACAACTTATAGAATGTCCACAGGTGTCAGTGATTTGGGACTATTAATAGCAATAGTAACTATTGTGCTTTTCATGTAGTTTGCCCGTTGTTTAAATGCGTTAAACAACCAGACGTTTAAAATAATATAAGCCCAATTGAAGATAAAACAACGCTAAACACAAGTTCTGCATTTCAGCAGAATAAAACAACCCTTACTGTATTTCAGCTGCTAACTAATCGAGTTGCAGCACCAGGCCAACTAACGCCGTACAACTACCAGTTCATCACGATGCATACCGTATTAGGCTGTTAAATGGGAGTACTATACATCGTGTAGTCGTACAGTAGTGCGCCCTTGCCTTCCACGTACAGTGCTAAGGTTAGAGCAGATCAAGAATTGTAGGTATGGCATAGCTTTGAATCATTGGACAGAGCGACGACTACATGTACTGTAGCCTAACTATATCCCTAACGTTATACACATTACTCGGAGTAGATAATGTTAGTACTGTAGTGATCACGGATGGGGGGTCATGTGTGTGGCCATAGCTCCTTCAGTTTCATTGCGTCAAGCACCTTGACATGTTGACGTAAAGCAAGTTGTTTGCCAGAATGAAAACGGCAAACAACTTGTTTTACGAAAGTGCCAGTAAAACCACCTTCAACCAACCAATCATCGCATTAGATGAAGTAACTTTAAACAACGCACCCAACCGTTATTCAAGTTACTTTAGACATTATTTAAGCCTGAGAAATTTTTAAACAATGAATTTAACCCTGGAATTGCCAAAAAAGGTGCAAAGCACAATAACTACAATAATAATATTGTGGTGCATGCTAATTCATTAAATACGTCGTGTCGACGGCTCTATCCCCATCAAGTGCCCGCTCGTCTTGCTCTTGCAACTCGACGAGGAACGCCAGCATTTGCTTTTTGAAGAACGTCAGTTGGTGGAGGTACCGAAGTCGGCCCGCGGCGGCTTTGCCCTGTCGTTCGCGCGGGCTCATGGTCACTATTTTGTCGACGGCGTCGCAGATGGCTCGCCCGGTCACTGTCCACTCCATGCCCGTGCCCACACGCCAGTGCTGGTGGACCTTGTACTGCCTTCCCATCTCTTGGCCCAAGCTCCAGAAGTCCTCAGTCCACACCGGCGGTTTCAACAGTTCTGCGGCCACTAGTACACCATTCGACTTATCCACAAACTCACGCATGGGCAGTCCGTCAGTAGTTACCACCACGGCGCCCGCGGCCCGAGCTTGGTTGATATAGTGACCAAATCTACAACGGTACGGGCATGTCACTACAACACGCCCCAGGAGCAACACTGCGACGTACCCTTCCATGGCACTGGGACATAGGATCACGGGGGCGGCGGCGAGAATCGCGCCAAACGCGATCGGATCGACGTCCGTGCCGTGGTGGTACTGTACGTTGTTGCTCCCGTCAGGAAACAGCGCGTGGTAATGCGCGTTCGACCGGTCATCCTTGGCGTACACGACGAGCGGGGGCAAATCTGGCCGCGACTGCCAGCAATCTAAAATCGCCAGAGTATTTTTGTGGACGCTGCGGCCATTCACGTGCAAAAAGGACAACGTTTGAAACGTTTTCTTGGTCGAATATGGCGATGTCATTCGAGATAGAATCGTCGGGTCGCTCGACGTGTGCTGGGTGTACAGGACCTTGGTATGCCGTGATATGTTGTCGATATGGCGTCGAAACCAACGGTTGTTGTTGATATGCGATGGTGGTTGGTGCTGGGTATACCATCTCGTCAAGCGCGAATACGCGTCCAACGTCTTGGCCAAGACGTAGTCAGCTCGATGGTAGTGCTCCGCCTTGAGCTCGTACATTTCGACATTTGGCATGAGCACCACCTTCTTATGCCGCGGGAAATCTGACCGGAACGGCAGGTTGTGCCAGTAGTGGTTCATAAACAACATGGCCGACCGAGGACATAAGTCAAAGTACGTGAACGACTTGCCTAGACACAACGTTAAACAACGTACGGATGTGTAGGCAGTTGGTTGCACATGTACCGGCATGGTGAAACGTCATGTCGACAACCCACTCGGGCAAAGCTCGCGCGCGGAGGTACAGGACGTACGCCATGCTGTCTTCGCAATACCCGTGGTCCCGAATGGAGCTTGGGAGAAAGATGTCGATGTCGGGGCAATTCGACAGCGCTTGCACAAGCACTGGCGTCGGCGTGTCTGGGGTCAGCAGCAAGGACCTGTCAACTACCGAACTGTTGTACGCCCACGAGATCACCGCGTCCTTCTCGTGTGTGCAGACCGCGTTGAGGTAGCTCAAATGAAGCAACTCCGCATCTTCGATTCGAACTGGAGAGGAGGCAATCGCAGCCTCCATTTCAATCAGCGAATGCGGCAGCGGCACCGGACCGTGCGTTAGCGTTGCATACATGAACAAAGTCACGAGACCGTCCATGAAAACGTACGCAGCCATCAGCGCCAGCACCACCTTCAAAGGCTTCCGCCATCGACTTGACTTTAAGATCGTACAGCGGAAGTAGAACGGCTTGGGATTCTCCTTCCAGTCCTGCCGATAAGCGGGCAGCTGCATTTTTGCCTTGTGCCTGTAAGAACGTCCGGATAAAACAAAGGGTGTGCATCCATTTCAAACTAGTAGTACTACTAGTAGTACTATGCATACATCCTGTTCATTTGGTTTTGGCAAATACAGTATCAGAATTCGCCAGAAGTTGAAATTCACAAAAGTGATTGTCAAGGAGTGCATGTTTTCTAATCCTTTGAAACATTTGTCGTCATTTTTTGTACAACCATGGGCCGTGGACTCCAGTGGCTGTTGTACCTGGTGGTGGCATGCGGCGTATGCATCACAACGCACTTCTGGCGGTCTCGAATGCCTCCAGTGTCCCCGCCGTCTACCTCCGCCTCAGTGTTTTCAGGCCAAGCGGCCTTCGACCAACTGCGCAACATCACGAAAACCAAACACCCGGTGCAAGCCCAGGCCAATTTGGACATGTATCATTACCTGTACGATCAATTGGAAGCCCTCAATCGCACAGTAAGTCTTAACGCTGCCGACGACTCGGCGTGGCTGCCGAATCAGCTCGTTTTCGATACACCACGAAGTCTCGTGCGCACCCTTCCGCCAGCAACCGCGACCACCCAACCCGGCGGCGCTACACGTCAAGGGTGCAAGGACTATGAAGGCTACATCAATGAAACGCAGATCGTGGTTCGAGTGCCAGGCACGTTACCGTCCAGTGTGTTGCTAACCGCGCATTTCGATTCTGCGCCGTCGTCGTATGGCGCGTCCGACGACGGCGCGGGCGTGGCAGTGATCCTCGAGACGCTGCGGGCCCTGCTGGCGTCCCCAACTCCTCTCGACCACACCCTCGTCGTGTTTCTCGACAACGGCGAAGAGACTGGCTTGTGCGGGTCCAAGTGGTTCGTCCAGTCCGACTTGGTCTCGGCGTTCAAGGTCAAAGTGTTTGTCAATTTGGAGGGCGGCGGCGTGGGCGGCCGAGCGATCTTGTTTCGCGCGACAGACAACCAACTGGCATCTTTGTACGGCCAAGTGGCCCCGTACCCGCACATGAACAGCCTGGGCGGGTCGTTGATTTCCCTTCTGGGCAGCTCCACCGACTACCAAGTGTACAAGCCCGCCGACATCCCTGGCGTCGACATTGCATTTTACGAACACCGCGAGTACTACCACACTCCAGGGGACAACATCGACCGCATCTCGGCCCAGGACGTGCAGCACTGCGGCGCCAACGTCCTAGCGATCACTCGCGCCTTGCTAAACACCAACTCCCTGGACGACTGGAGCTCCCATGATGAGGCTCTGTACTTTGACGTGATGGGGCAGTGGGGGGTGACATTGACTGTGGCCAAGAGGTGGCTCGTGGTGCTAAGTACATGGGCTGCCGCCGGTGTGGTGGTGCTCGTGCATTACTATTCCACTTATTGGTTTGACCAGAAAACTACCAGTATGACCTTGGGGCAATTTGTCAGATCCGTCGTCGTCAGTCACTGGTCGTATTTTGCTACTGCCTTGGGGGTAGGGACGTTCGCGGCGTTGCTGGCAAACGTGCCGTTGGTGGGATTTCTACTCGTGACGCGCAACTCGTTGCTGTCGTGGACGGTGCTCCCCAATGCCATCGTAGGGCTCTTGGTGGGCGTCGACTTCGCAGCCAAGTTGTGGCGACGACAAGGCAAAACGGCTCAGAGTATCCTTCCCCTGGCCGATGATTGGATGCGCTTAGCCACTTCTGGAGCAACGTTCGGCGCGTTCGTGTCCACCTTGCTTGTGTTTAATGCCCCGCTGTTGTACCTATTCCCTGTGGCTACAGTGGCATACGCTATCGTGCTTGTGTTTGTGTATATTGGAGTCGGCTTTGCGAAGAGTCGTCCGAGCCCACATCCGGACGCCATGACGTGGCAGCCTGCCGTGTCGTACGCGTCGATTCCACCGTCGGAAGAACCAGCGAATCTGTCCGTGGTGCCCTTGGCCATCGGAATGGCGCTGGTGGCGGCTCTGGGGGTGTTTCTATTTGTGGCACTCCCTGTATCCGTGGACAACTTGTGGATGATACAATCCGTGGGAGGGTGCGACCCCCTCATCATGGCTGCCGCGCCGGTGATCTTGGCCCCGGTCTTGTACTTGGTGCTGCCGTGGTTTGTACTCACTTGGGGAGGCGGCGAGGCCTTGCTCTTGTTTCAGGTGTACCTTGCGGTGTGGGCAGTGGCCACGGTTCAATACGCGGCGTCCGTGTGAACGCGTTAAGTGGAATACATACTTTAATTACGCTGACTGCAACTAGAAAGGTTGTGTTACTAATTGGCTGGGATTATCAATCACTACGCTTGTTTTGCTGCAGTCGACTCGTATTCCATTCAAATCCAAGGACTAAAGTTCCTTGGTAGACGACACTGCGTCGAGGAGGGGGTGAGAGCGTAATCTCAAGATTTCAAAAAGGTGAGTCAACTGGACTCTCCTAGAATCTTGTCTGGCAGCCCTGTTGTAACTAGGATAAATGTGCTGGCGCCGAGGTTGGACGAATTTGTACAGCCAATCGGGGGAGTTCATCATACTCACAAACTGACAATTGGACAAACTACAAATGTAATAACGTGTCCGACCATTGATGGGCCGAACGACCATTGATGGGCCGACTTATTTCATCCAATTAAAACGCCAATCTACTCTGATTGGACAAAAGGCAACCTCTCGACAAATTTAACCTGCATGAATAAATGGAGGGGAAAATATTACATATTAAAGGTTCTTCAATTTATGAACCGACGAAATGCCGCCAAGAACGCAGGTCACCATGGACAAGGCCGTCCACGATGTGTTAAGCAAGTACACACGACATCAACTGCTGCGGAGGCCTATGGCGTTCCATCGCGGACGCTTCGGAAGCATTCGGCAAAAGCTGACCCCGGCGTCATCGAAATACAAACATCTCTCAAGGAAGACGTGACGGTTAGTGGTAAGGA